TATATTTACTTTTTTTCTTTTTTAAGTAAAGAAATTAAAAATTTAAACCAACTAAAATGCCTTCCTTCTGTTGAAGCCCTCATGCCTGTCATCACACAAAAAATCAGCGTTTTCATTTTCATAAAGTTTTTTATTTCCCCCATTTTTGTTGCGATATATTGATTATTTTCATAAATTTTCATTTTTAATTTGGCTCTTTTCTTGCTGTTTTTTTTTTGGTTATCTTTATAACATTACATATTTCTATTTTACATATAACCAATACTTTTTAAATATTTATATATTTTTTCTTCTGATATTTCTGTTCGATTTTAAAGCATGTACAGGGTACCAACTAGAGCACATTTAAAGCGTACGAATAATGCTACAGTTAACAGCTGTCACTTGTCACATGTGGGCTCACAAAGTTTAAAATTCATTCATTAGCTGTCAGTTGACGGTTGACAAATGTCAGCTAACATCTGTCAAAATGGAAAATATCTAAGTGCCCGGTACTGTTGTCGATATTTGGCATCATCAATGCTTTTTGATGCTGTCACTTGTCAACTATCAACTGTCAAAATGTTGCTGTTTTCATTTATTTCTGCTTAATTCCATTTTGTTTAACTATTTTCATTTAAAAATACTATTTTTTGCTGGTTTTCTTTGTGGTCTTTTGATTTGTATATATTTTAACTACTCATTTGTATGTTTCTATCTGGTTTCTTGCGTTTCAAATACTTGTTATTATTACTTTAAGTTGTTTACCTTTTAACTCTTATAACTGCTCGTTGGTTTTCGTTCACATTAAATACTTGGGTTTTGCATATTTTTCAACATGTTCTTTACATAGTTATAATACTCTGTTAATATATCTACATACAATATTAAATATTCGTTTTCATTATCTCTGATTAAAAATCATTTGTTCTGTTTGAAGCTTGTTTGGATGTTTATATGTGTCTTTTATATATTTAAATATTTTTTTTTTATAATTTTTTATCAAACACTATTGATGTAAATCATACATAAATTCAAATCCACTCACTTGTTTTCGAATCTCTCCACAGTTGCACATTATCTCACTCTCTCTCGCTCGCTCGCTCGAAAAATCAATTTTGTTTCATCTATTTATCTCTTTTTATCTAATTTTTTGAGTTATCATTCTTTCCAGTTCTTATTTTGTCTCTTTCACTCTCACACTCTCTTATATTTTGCGCATTCTTACTTTTAATAATGTTTTAACTGCTTAACATTCCACTCTTTTCAGAATCCACACTCTTTTTCTCTCTGTATAAATAACTTTCATTTCTTTTTAAATTTTTTAATAATTCGCACAAATTTTTTCTCTCATAGAACAAAATTCACTCAGAGTAGCTTTTTAAGCATGTTTTTGATTGTTGTTATGTGTAAAAATCCGTAATCTTTTCTGCAAAGAAAAAACTAAAATATAATAAAAAGAAAACTAAAAAAAATATAAT